TAGCTTTCCTTTTTGGTAGCTTTTTGTGTGGATTATGAAGCTATATTATTTTAAGCGACCTTTTTGGACCTGTCTGTCTGTCAGTCTCCAGTCTTTGTGCTAAACTAAGACAAAGGCTGCTTTGATGAGACAGATGTGTTGATTGTCTCATCAGCAGAACAGAGAATACTTGATTTGTAAAATGTTGGACTTTAGTTGAATGGTAATGGATCTCCTCATTATTTGACCTTTGTTTTCTTATCTTGTTTGACATGGGACTCATAGATGTTGAACTATTTAGCTTTAAACTTCTTAAGGTCATCTCCCTTTGACAATGGAACACACTGACATCTTCCAACTTTAACTTTTTAAAAATTTGTCTCATAATTTATCTATACAGCTGCAGCAGCAGTTAAGGTTCACACTTGACCAATCAACGCTACACACACACACACAGCTGTAAATCATGACCTTTCAACTCATTTTTGTAGCATAATATAACTAATTATACCAAACAAATAAACACTTGAACAAACATCTGTGTCATTTATTTAATAAGCAATTTGACATTCTGTCTCATATCCCATCTTCTAACATGGAGGAGGCAGGATTTATAACCCATCCTTTGCCAGCCGCCGGGGGGGGGGGGGGGGGGGGGGGGGGCGATGGCGACACTTTGGCTGTACTTTTGGGGAGCAGTCATCTTGTCCATCTTTCTATGCAATATATGGTTTCTGTGTACATGCATGTGAAACAGAGCTAGTTTTAAAATCATTGACTTTTCTTGCAGCCTTCCTTTCAGATTATTTTCAAATTAGAACTTAAGACTGAATCTACTGATCTTTATTGTGTGAGAAGTCAAAGACTCTTTACATTTACATGTTGACAAACAAACATGACATGACAAAAAGCAAATTTTACTTTAAATTCTTGATTCGTAATAACCAATGCAAAGTCATTGAATGAGATCATCCTAAATGGGTCTCTGTCCTCAAATCTAAAAAGGTGGCTTAATCTAATCTGTGGCTGAAATAGACAGCTCACAAACCCTGTGCGACCTAAGATTTAATGAAAATGCATAACGACAGCCATTCTCCCTCTGGATGACCAGAAATCATTGGCTACCGCCCACTCGATTAGAGAGCACACATAGCCTTGAGTGAACCCTGGATGGGATAACATAGGTTGCTCCTTGAACCTCAAATGCAGTCTCAAATCACATAATCTGTCAGAAGCTATTCATCTACTGGAGTTTACTGTGTTTTCCCCAAGAAGAAGCAAACAGAGAACAATACTGTGCATCTGTGCTTAATGGACTGAAAAACATAATAGAATAAAGGCATGGCTGAGGTTCTGCAGCAGCTGGATTAATTTTAGTGTGGATTTCTGAGGCGGTAAATCACATATTGAGGAAAATAAAGGAAACAATAGAATGGATGGAGGATGCAGGATGGAGGAAATGTTTAGATTTCCTGGGCCGTCATAAATTATAAATGATGCAGGGGGGATGTGTAAGCTTTAAAAAAACTGTCTGTTTCCAGCTTTATGACAAATTGATGTGAAGTTATGCATAACTCCAAACAGAGTGGGCCTGAACAGTATTCCAGATAGGCAATGTATTACATTTATAAAAGAGCGTCAGAAAACACTTTCTGGAACTGTGACTACACTGAGCTTTCAGCTGCAAAGTGCTTTTTCAGGTAGTCAAGCCTCAATGTGGACTGAGGTGTTTACCCTGCCTGCCTACGTACAAGCGAGCAGAGGAGACGGTGGATAAATCTGCTAAGCTTCACTAGACATGATGTGCAGGAGGAGGTGACATGTGGGCCTCTGTGACAGATCTACAATAGGTAATACTCTGTGCACTGGGCCTGCTTCTATACTACAGCTCTTATGCTCTACCTGGGCTGTGATTACATAACTGCCTCACTGAAATGTTGTGCAGGGCACGATTCGTCTGTCCGACTCTCAACATCCACCTCTCCTTCCCTCCATCACAGATTCTCTTCATCTGTCCTTTTTTACATCCTCAACTCTCACAGTATGCACACACACACACACACAC